GTTGGGGCAAAAAAAAAGAAAAGACTATCTGGGGGGGGTTGAGATCAAACTTGGCTCATATCGCGCGGTATGCGACTAGACGGACAAGACGGGGATGGGGAAAGGAAGTCAAAGCGCAATCAAATGGACAACGTCAACGCTCTATCGCATATGAACGAAGGGGGAATACAGACAACGGAATGCTGCAAGATAGAGGGAGAGGGGGGATGTATAGGGGAGAAGGGGAATGAATCCAAGACTTTAAAAAAAGGTTAAAAAGGGTTTCGAAGAAAAGGGACCCGAACGGTTGACGATGCGGCACCGAAAGAGGAACGAACGGGCGGCTCCTCGCGCCATCCGCGGATCGGAATCACGTGGCGGTGCCAGCTCCGCAGGGAAGCTTTCGACCGCAAAGAAGAAACGCGACAGGCAAAAAGATAGAAAAGTGATTGTTCAGTTTGATGGTTGTTGGAGGGACGATCCCAGGTCGTCCATCTCCTCTCGTGCTACTCCTCATTCCAGTCTCTCCTCTCTCCCTCCCCATCCCCGTCCTCCACGAACGGTCCTTTCGTGCCAAACCTCACTTAGTGTCACGGTCACCTCGAACGCTTGCTTCCCTTCGGTGTTGTTCCCCGCCCGTCGAAGCAGCTCTCCATCTCTTCCCAGTGAACAGTCTCTTCGCCCCCGCCTACACGAGATCGAATACCATCATACTCAAAAGTGTCTATCGGGATCAACGCGGTCGGGTGGGAATAGTCATCGCTCCTGGAGCTTGGACATGACGGTAGTTGGCCATCGTGGCGCTCGCGGCGCAGTGCACGACTGAGTATCTTGCGCCATGCCAGGCGTCGTGGAGACCCCAGCTGGGCCTGTCAGGCCGGAGCTGGGATTCACCGTCGCGCATCAGAAGGTCGAGCTTGAGATCGATTTTGCCAGCAAGAGCCTCAAGGGAAAAACGGAACTCACGATCCATCCGCATCACAAAGACCTTCGCGTTATCCGTTTAAATTTCCGACAAGGCGAACTCCGGCGTATCAATGTCAGTGGCAAGGTACCTAGCATCAAATACACGGACCCTTATGACACGCTTCAACTTTACGGCCCTCATTATCACCAGCGCCTCGCGACGAAGATAGATGGACTACTCAAATCTCCACCAGAATCTGACCTTCTCATTACGGTCCCCAAGAGCGTCCGGATCGACGAACTTGATCCCTCCTCGATTGAAGCTCAAGACCAAATGACCTTACGTGCTACGGGTTCCGCTGATGATGCAGAAGGACCTTTGAGCGCCAAGGCAGCCGAATCGTCACTTCCACGCTTTACGGCCCTCACGGTTACCATCGACTTCGTCATTGAGAATATTCGGGATGGGTTGCAGTTTGTCGGATTAGAGAGTGGCGACAGACGCTATCCTCACGCTTATACAACCAACTCCCTGGGGTATGGCGCTTGCTGTCCTCTCTTCCCCTGCGTCGACGATCCTTTGTCGCGCTGTACGTGGGAATTCTCGATCAAGTGCCCGTGCTCCTTAGGTGATATGTTTGATCGTAAATCCCGTGATCATTCCGGCGCCTCGGGTCCCAGTCGCTCGAAGCCTGCTTCTGGACATGAACGGTATATCGCTCCGGATGATGAGACTCTTGATCTGTCCGTCGTCTGTTCCGGGGATTTGACGGATGAAATCATCGACCCAAAGGACCCTACCAAGAAGACGGTTTCGTTCGCCTGCTACTCCCCTCTATCTGCCCAGCAACTTGGATTTGCCGTAGGTCCCTTCGAATACATCAACCTCTCCGATTTCCGCGAAAGCGACCAAGACGAACAGCTTGGTCTAAACGCCATACCGTTGCACGCATTCTGCCTCCCGGGAAGAGGAGATGAAGTCAGGAATACCTGCTTTCCTATGGCGAAGGCAATTGACTTTTTCTCACTGTCTTATGGATCGTACCCGTTCGCTAGCTATAAGATATGCTTTGTGGACGACACACCTGATGCCACACTACCCACGGCTTGTTTATCGATATGTAGCAGCCGCCTCTTGTTCCCCGAAGACATCATCGACCCAATGTATGACTCTACTCGCAGCCTGGTTCACGCCCTATCCTGCCAGTGGATTGGTGTAAACATTGTGCCAAAAGAGGCAACGGATACATGGGTAACGGTCGGTGTCGCCTGGTACATCACGGATACGTTCATGCGGAAGCTCTGCGGGAATAATGAATATCGCTTTCGATTGAAACAGATGTCTGATAGAGTATGTGACCTGGACTACGAACGTCCGTCGCTCTACGACATGGGTACGATATTGACGATAGATCCGTCCGAAATTGATTTCATAGCGCTCAAGGCCCCGCTCGTTCTGTTCATCTTGGACCGGAGACTTACGAAAGCGAGTGGCAAGGCAACGATGTCGCGCATCATCTCCCGTCTTTTCCTGAACTCCCGGATGGGTGACATACCGAATGGTGCCGTCACGACTTCCCTTTTCCAGAGGACATGTGAGCGACTCGGCCACGCAAAGCTTGATTCATTTTTCCAGCAGTGGGTATACGGGGCGGGATGTCCTCGGTTCCAAGCCACGCAGCGATTCAACAAGAAGAAGCTCGTGGTTGAAATGATGATCCGGCAGGTGCAAGCTGATGCTTCAAGTACGCGCGACTTAGACAAGAATGCGTTCATGCGGGATGTCAAGGAAGAAATACGGGGCGTCTATGCAGGAGTTATCCAGCCGGTTTTTACTGGATCCATGACCATTAGAATTCACGAAGCTGATGGCACGCCTTATGAACACATCGTGGAAATCAAGGAGGGTGTTACGAAGTTCGACATACCTTATAATACCAAGTACAAGCGTCTCAAACGAAACAAGCGACAAAAAGAGCGTGCAGCTGCCGTAACAGGCGGCGACCCTAATGCCGAAGCTCAGGAAGATGTTCTGCTTTACTGTCTCGGTGACGTTTTGCAGACCGAAGAAGAGGTTGTTGAATGGAAACTAAGGGATTGGAGCGAAGAAGAGGAAGAGAGAATGAGCAGAGAGTCCTATGAGTGGATTCGCATGGATGCAGATTTTGAGTGGATATGCAAGCTTTCGTTGGCGATGCCAGGGTACATGTACCTGTCGCAGCTTCAGCAAGATCGAGATGTTGTAGCGCAGCTGGAGGTCAGTCAAACCCTTTACTCATCAGGTGACTGGATTGGAACTGACAATGGATGATATTTCAGTCATTGCAATACATGGCGATTCAGCGAGAGCACGAGCTCATTTCGACCATATTCGTCAGAACACTGATGGATCGAAGATATTTCTACGGAATTCGGGTGGCTGCCGCTCGAGCTCTGGTGAAACATGCTACGGATGCTGTTGACTGGGTCGGATTGTTCCACCTCGAAAGAGCTTTCCAAGAACTGTTCTGCCTTCCAGGATCTCCCATGACTCGCTCCAATGACTTCTCTGACAGAGCAGCATATTTTATTCAATTAGCCATCCCCGAGTCCATATCCAAAGTACGCGACACTAACGGCAAAACGCCCATGCGGGTCAAGCGTTTTCTTTACGACAAGTTGAAGTTCAACGACAACTCAAACAACGAGGTGAGTACATGACCCATTACCTCATTGACCCGACGCTTATGCTGCGACAGTATTCGGACAACTTCTATGTCGCGACCTTGATGGAATCGTTATGCCATGCCATGCTGGGCAAGCCTGAGAGGCCCTCCGAGGTGGACGATTTTGACATGGAGCGTGTATTAGAGGCTCAGGCAGAAGAACAATTGGAAAAAGACGCCATTGCAGAGATTGATAGATATCGCAGGATGGATGAATGGTCCAGCTCGTTTCAGAACATCTACTCGCGCGCCGCTTTGCGCTGCCAAGTGCGTCTCATGGAAGCCAAAATATTGAGCCTCGATGTTATGCAATTCCTGCCGTATACTCGAGCTGGAACATACGATCTCCTCCGCTTGGATGCGTTTGAATGCCTCATTGAGCTTGACATCTTCCAATACCCCGAACTACTGCGATGGTTCATTTTCACCATGTCAAACGACTCTTCTGCCCTTATCAGGTGTCGCCTACATAACTTGTTCGGGAAGGCTCTCGCACCAGTCGCCTTTGGTCGTGAAACTAAGGAGGAAGCGCCTGCTAGCAACACCGATAACCTCATTATCGAGCAGGAATCTTCAACCGAGGTCCGCCAGGCAGACCTTGCCCGGAGACAGACAGTTACCGGAGCCTTGAATGCGCTCAAGAAGGAGATCTCCGGCGATCAACTGCTGAAAGAATCTCTTTGGGCGGCGTGCAATTCTCCCTGCATTGGAATACTCGAGCTCTCCGAGTTTACCGATCTTTGCAGGGTTCTCTATGACGCAATCACCACTCGGATGGTGTCTCTGAAATACCCTCGTTACTGGACCGTGAAGCATCTCGGAAAGGTTCGTAACATGGAGGACAACATATTTACTGAATTCTTGCTAACCCAACCCAGGGACGCATGCACTTCGTCCGAACAAACAAAATCCGCACGACACTCACGCCCTCAAAAGATACAACAGCCGCCCCGAAACGCAAGCGCGAAGAGCAAGGCATGGGACCACCGGGCCCTCGTATCACATTCAAGCAGTCCAAGGTGGCATCCAGTACTACACCATTCAGTCCAAAGCCATCATCGCAGCATATTCCAACCAAGCTGCACATACCAAACCTTCCCTCCCCAGCTTCGTCAGCACAGCCTAAGCCAACGACTGCACCATCTACCCCATCCACGCCCAGTGGCGGTGGGTTCAAGCTGAAATTGAAATTCGGCCAGAAGCCGAAATGAGTTCAACTTTACTCACAGCCGTCTTCATTACACAAAATTCTAGATACCAATTTTAACTCGTATAGCTTCATTCATTCTTCATTGTTTGGACTTTGGGAACGGAGGTGGGCTGATTTCAGGTCAAGGAGATGCATGGCGTGGGGGTTCTCTTTTTTTTACTTTTATTATTCTTTCTAGTATTCTGGGTTATCTCCACAGGGTATTATCTAGTTCCAGAGGCCCATTTGATTATTGCCGGTGGGATAGGTTGGGCATTGGTTTGCCGAGAAAAAATGATAGACCATAACTGACTAGCTGTCATGGATCATTGCGTTGGGACAATGCACCCATCTCCCTCTTAAGCAAGGATGCCGTAATCTGGTATATTCCAGATCTCTCTGTGCGTAAAGTGTTTCTCGTAACTTGTTTGAAATGAAGATTTCTTTCTTTTCTGTTTCCTTTTGAAAGCGAGATGCCATCGATCATTCCGTGAGCAACCAACCCGTGAACTCCTTTGCAATTAAATCATTTCCCACAGTGAAGGTATAAAAAGACATGTTGACTTTCCCCGTCCACCCGCAGCACTTTATTTGTCGCTGATACGTTCCAAGGCCTATTTAGAACAGCAGATTAGTCTCCTGATAAGTACACCACTAAACGTGGTCCTATGGCAGGTGATACTGACCTCGAGCATAACAACCGAGTTACCGCGAATGACCTAGAAAGACGAACAGACCGTCATTAGCTTCCTGCCCCTCCTAGTTTCCAAGGCAAACGTAAACGTCCGGAAATGGGAATGGTCACATACAATCATTCCGATAGCGACCTTCTCTCCACCCTGCTTTTCCTCGAAAGCCTCATCAAGGACGATGTTCATGAACACCTGGATAATAAAAGCGCAGACGTCAGCAATCTGCACACACATACACACACTCTCCCCGCCCCCTCTTTCACTCCACGGATTGAACCAAGAATATCACCGATATTCGACCCCATCCAAGGCACATCAACCCGTATAACAGCGACACAGCAGGCAGGAAAGTAGGAACCGAGGGACACAGGCGCGACGTACATCATAGCCTCGCAGGATACCAATGACTTTGCGGTTGCCGTTCAGTTGGCAGAATACCCGCTTTTCCATGTACTGTTGGAAAACCGCAATGTTAGCTTCGGTGCTTTGTACCGGGGGAAGGTGGGCGGAAAATCAATCGCGAATAATATACCTTCTTCAACTCGGGTTGGGCTTGAGGCATCTTGAATGGTGTGTTCTGGGGTCTAACTGTCCTATCGTAACGGCGAGTCGGGCGCGTTGCGGAACTTTGAGATACAAGCAGTGGGAATCAGCTGGGCCCGGAAGAATGATGTTCCCGCAAGCTCCAAAGAATCGCGGAGCTGCAAGTGACGCCAGCGGGGTTTCATCTTTCAGGCTTTTGGCTGGTTTTATAGCCGGGGACTCGGTTCGAACAAGGAGATTACTAGGCTTTTTCATTCGCTTTGACAATGAGTTCCCAATTTGCAAATCGCCGAAAGCCCCGCAAAATTGGTGGCGATGATGAGGAAAATGACGCCGACGAGCAAGGTTGGTATCTGCGAACAAGCTCAACTTTACGTGATGGATATACTAATGGAAGCCTGGTAGACTCTGGACCTGTTGTCAAACGTCCTCCGACTTCGAAAACGAAGCAAAAGTCGAAGATGCGCCTTTCGTTCGGCCCCGGCAGTACCTCGATGGCGGACGATGACGACCAGGAAAGCGAAGTTGTCATTCCCAAACGACCTGGGCTCGCGAAACGGGCTATAGAGAAGAGCGCATTTCAGCGATCCTTGACACCGTCGGGTGCAGGTGGTCAGATCCCCCTCCGGGTAGGGCCTGAGCAGGATAGGCCGAATTACAACGACGAATATCTAAAAGAGCTCCGAAACTCGACACCCTCTACGCCGAAGCCCGCCGCTGAGGATGAATCGGAGAAGACAATTGATGTGGCTGCCAAGTTTGGTGAGGTCATGAAGGTTTCAACTCCTGCTGCTATTCCCAGCGAAGCAGAGATCAGAGAAAAGAAAGCTCGGAGAGCCCGATTAGCGAAGGAAGAGGCGGCGCTTTCCACCGAGAAAGATTTCATTTCTCTCGAGGATGATATGGAAGAGGACGACTGGGATCTTCAGGCGCGGCGAGAGGATACGAGGCTCGTCCGTGACGATGAAGATTACGCAGAAGGATTTGAAGAATTTGTTGAGGACGGACGTATATCCCTTGGGAGGAAAGCAGAGAAAGAGCAAAAGCGAAAACAGCGGGAAGAAATGCGTGAACTTATTGATGATGCTGAAGGTCTGTCGGATGAGGATGATTCGGACTTGGAGGAAAAAGCAGCGTACGACGCCAGTCAGGCACGAGCTGCTATGGGTGCGAGCAGAGATCCTATTGACCGTCCGCGCACTCCGCCAAAGATGACCTCGTTACCCCGTCTGTCGAACTCACTCGAGCGTTTGCGTATGAACTTGGCGGTCCTAGAGAAGTCAAAGGCTCAGATGATCGACCGTATGGAGGAACTGAGGAAAGAGAAGGCGGACATAGCTGTTCGGGAAGTGGAAATCCAGGCTTTGATCAAAGAAGCCGGAGATAATTACGAGAAGCTTAAGCAGGAGGCTGGGATCACTCCTGGCTCGGATGGAAACCTCTCTACAGCCGATGAGATGGCGAATTCGCGAGGCTTGGAGGGTCTTGGAAATTCGGTGACAGCATCTGCAAACAGCTCTGAGCATGAGGAGCCTTGATGCTTCAAAAATGCTTCATTGACGCCTTCTGCACGGTCTGCGGTGGCTGCCTCTTTGAAGTCCCTGTCCAAGAGCATCACCATCGCTCTTTCCGAGACAACACCAGTTGCTCTTCGTATCGAAACCGATCGACTGCGCCAATTTCTTGACGACCACCGACCAGGACTGTTCTTACTCTATATTTCATGATACCCATCGTTTAGTTGTCTAGCTTCCCTAAGGCCCGTCACTATGATACCAATACCCTTCAAGTCCTGGTTTGACCAACCGTTGAGTAGAGATAGGCGTGCCAGAGCAGCCACGCAGTAAGTTGGACTTTCGGTTAGGCGAGATGGTACTTGAGTGATTTCTTAACTTCAATAGGCAGCGTAGTGTCATTGCGTTCATTGAGTCGCCAATTGACGAGAAGGATGGAGATCTTCCGCATCTCCGTCAACAATCCGAGGCAACACCCATCGAGCTATTCTTTGACTTGTTCTTCGTTGCAAATCTCTCCACCTTTACAGCTACACATGAAATCAACAACGTAGAAGGTATACCAGCTCACTAACATGGTTTGATCACAAACTGATGCTGCCAGCTTTGTGGGCCTACATTGGCTTCCTCGGGATCATCTGGTTTACCTGGCTTCAAGTCACACTATTTGATATCCGTTTCGCGCGAGACTCGATCTTCGAGAGAATCTGCAAGGCCATTCAATTGGCTGCTATGGTTGGATTTGCATCGGCAGGTTCAAGGTTCACCACACGTGTTCAGCCAGAAAATGTCTGGGCCTTCCAGTCCTTGAGCCTTATCCTCGGTGGCAGTCGGCTCTTACTCGCCTTGCAATACACTGTGAACGCCGTGTTTCTTCGACGGCGTATGATACCTGCAGCTCGGGGCGTATCCATCATTGCCGGGATGCAATTTGTCTCAAGTTTGACCTACCTCCTGGTAAGCTATCCAAGGCAGACAACCATCGGTTAGCTCGTACCCTTGTCAAACTGACTTGCTGTAGATGTATTATGCCTTCCGTCCCCGTGAAGGAGTCAACCCCTATATTTGGACCGTTTGGTTTGTTCTATTTGGGGTCGAGATGTGGGTAGTGATGGGAACTTCAAGCGCCACACCTGGGATTGGACTTCAAGATACCCATCTCAACACAAGAATGGGCCTCCTAACTCTGATCATAATCGGTGAAGGTGTCATATCTGTCACTAGGCTCGTCAACCGGACAGTAGGCCCTGGTGGCTGGACGAAGTGGTCGTTTGTCCATATCCTAGGCGTTACAACTAGTGTGGTATGGCCCCGATGATTGACTGACCCACTGTTCAGTTCTATTCTAATCGGAATCCTAATATGTCAATCTCAGTACTTCTTGTGGCAAGCTTACTTCGACCTTTCTCCAAGACGTGTTCTGGGCAAGTATTCTCAGCAAATATGGGCCCAGCTACATTTCCCATTCCATGTGGTCCTCATCCTACTCCTTGAAGGGTCTCAGATCCTTGCCTTGAGTCTGGATATCACATTGAAACTCCGGTACCTAGCGGAAACCATTTTATGGGCTTGTGAAGACCCACGGCCCAGACCCGACTACGCCATCCAAATTCTTCGAGCCACCATTGCTGATATGGAAATCGACTATAGCCGAGGGGCCGTAAACGAACAGGTTACAATCTCCCGGATCTTGGATGATCTCCCCAATCACCCGCTTTGTCCCTCCCGTCGGACGGGCCAAGTCCCCATCGCCCGAGACATGCTCAGTGACCTGGTAGGGAATGTAACTGCGGCGCTGTTCTCCACCATGCGGATCATGCCTTCAAACCACCCTGATCCTGGCCGCTTGAGTAGTGAGCAGCTGCTGAGAGGGTATATGGCCCTCCTAGAATTCGTCTATGTGTACTATTTTGCCGTGGCGTCACTCTCCATGATGTTCTTTGGTGCTTTTGTATTATTAGCGCGTCGCCACACGCTCCGCAGATGTATGGGCATCAGCGCAGCGGCCCGCGTGTCCCTTGGTATGCTCCTTGGAAGCCTAATGAGTTTCTCTCGTCACTTTCCGCTCGTCTATTCTTTCATGACATCCCCCGCCATATTATATGCGTTTACTCTTACATTGTTCATGGGTGAGCTACCAGCCATGCATTGGGGATGGAAGGGATGCTTAGATCTGTCTGCTGACGAAAGTCACAGTGCTGCTGATGGACCGGCTTTTGGACCGGTACCAGAGCTACGGCGGACGGACGCAGGAAAGCGAAGTACCCTGAAATTACCCTGGCGGACCCCATTCTTTACTTACTATCATTCCTGCATGAACCATCATCCCCTGTACAATCATATCCTTATGCCAAGGGCCGGAAAAATGGCGGCCAGCTGGGGCCTGCGACGATCTAACCATCTATCCCCTTTGCGTAGGGCAATGGATGGCCTGGCTGTTGAGGGATGGAACTGTCATCTACCGACACCCGCGCAGGGTTCTAGCATACATACATGTGGAAATAACAAATTAGTTCCCGAGCTCTCAGTAGGAAGGAATACCTCCATTCACGCCTCGACCAGCCAGGGTTTGCTTTGGACATGTACAGCTAAAAGCAGGAAAAAGCAAAACTGCAAGCAGATTATAGTCATGATTTACGCAATGAACGTGAATTAGAAAAAAGATTTCAAAGAAGACAGACACGCCATTGCCGCAAGCCAGCAGCAGCAGCAGCAGCAGCAGCAGCAGCAGCAGCAGGAGGAAGGCCCGTCGTCAGCAAACCGGAACGACGGCAGCTGCAGCGGGAACAGACATAAGAGAAAGACTATTGCCGTCTTCCTCCCCTACTTGCTTCCTTAGCACCGACAGTCCCCACTGTAGTTTTTTCTGTTATTTCTCCGAATTTCTTCAGGTTCATGCTCCGTCGATCTTAGCTAGTCTTCCGCATGCTCATCCCGGGGATTTGCAGAGGGTCGTAGAATAATCCCGTTATTGTCATCATCAATGGGGGACGCTCAGATCCCTACCGCCACCATCCCACGCATTGTGTCTCCTTAATACTTTTTTTTTTACTATTTTTTGTTTTTCCGGTTTGTTCCTCAAGGATACGTGGTGAGTGGACCGTGCTGGACTGGTCTAGTCTCTCAGCGAAGAGGAAAGGGTGTGGTGAAACCCGTGAAACATGCTCATCCCGACGGTGTCACCGTTTCTACCCAACATCCGGGATTCCCGCAGGGAAGGTGTGTGCAACTCTCAAAAGATCCAGTGCGTCAGGCTAGGCCAGACCAGGTCAGTACTTTCTGTCTTTCCTTTCTTTCTTGTGTTGACCTTGGGGAGGCTAGTACGCTCCCCTGTCTATGGAGGAAATTAGTTCTGTCACCACCCCATTCCATCCCCCACCCCCGGTAAGTCACAAAAAGTGCATTTGCAGCCCGTGCACACATACATACATACATGTACGCGTGTATATGTGCACATGCTTGGGGATGGTGTCCGGGGGGGAGACCCACACAGACTATACATAGGATTTCCAGCAGGTGCAAACGTACAGTGCACATGATAGATCTGCAATGAGCCACACGGAGCGAAATAACGATCGTGCGGGGAAGGAAATTCTGATCTTGGTAGGGATCAGGGGGGTTTGAGTGTGGTTTGTCTTTGCTTTTTCTTTTGTTCTTGATCAGGGATTGTTTGCATTGTCTTGCATTGTGCGAGACGACAGTGGCGGAAGTGAGGCCAGAAAGTACCATGAGATGAGAAAAAGAAATGTATGTGTAGGTGCCGTATGATGTAAATTCCAGAAGTACCCTGTCACCAGGTTGGATGTCCGGAAGAAATGGCTCATGCAGATCCTGTCGACCTCTCAAGCCGGACTTCACTTCACTGGGGTCTAGGGAGCAAACCGGAGACCCATCCGACGTTTGGCTTGAAGAACGGGTTAAGCTTAATCTCCGACCGACATTTGCGTCCACTGCTTCGCCATGACAGATGGGCACGTCTGATTTGCACAATGACGGATGCAGAAGCGTTTGGGGCTGGCAGGACCCGGTTAAAGCTGGGGTGCAATGTATTTGGATGGAATCAAGCGGTGAATCGGGAAACCTTATCCTGCAGGACCAACACGGACGCTGCTCTTTCCAACTTTCTACTTGCTCCCTTGTTATTGGTCTTCATGGGAACAGCTTCTGTGGCACTTTTGATCTTCAGAATACATAGGCCCTAGGTAGCGTGCAGTTGTCTGAGCTCTGGTGGATACCTGAATGATGGGAATGATCTGCATATGCAGTTTGATTCCGCAGCAGTTAGGGCAAAAGAAAGCAGTCAGATAAAGCATGTCAGTCGAGCCAATGGCGGAGAAAACCACACCTGCAGATCCGAACGGGAGCTTTCCGAACCGTCCGGCCAAACGTCCCATTTTCTGGAGGTAATAAGTGTTCTGGATTCTTTGGTATGGGGTCGCAGCCACCGCATCGCCTGAGGATGGTAGGATAAAGCGGATGTGCGAACAAAGCCCTATGTAGCTACCCGATTGGCGTCCACTGCTGCAAAACAACCACACCAGTTCAACTTCGTCTGAACACCAGAACTTTGAGTTCCCCTTTCCCAGAGTTCATCTTCTGCGCCACAGAAGATGGCTCTTCTTTCGAGGATTGTCATTCGGACTATGCGCGGCAAAATGCAAAAGTAGAGTTTGACTGATCGTTATGGGAGTTTGGGAGATTATGTTAAACCGAACCATGTGCTGTAATTGATCTTGTTCCGTAATCCTCATGCCTTTTTTGAACAGAAAAGGGTATAGTGTCTCGGTCAGCCATTTTTTAGCGTTCAGGCCGATATAAATTTGGAAAGAACAAGGGTTAAGCTGCCGGCGATGCGAACAGTTCAAGCCATATCGGAACATGGTAGTCATGTAATTCAGGGGCCTAATGCGTGAGGGCGTGAAAGGGTCATCAATATGGCTTTATATTGATGTTGAAAAGCTCCGGTGTTCTCGAGTCAGATCTCTCTTGTCCTCGAGCGCGGTGTTGTGTCGTTACCTTTCCTTGGGGACTGAGACAGCCTTCTACATCCTCCGTTGGATAAGACATCACCTCTCAGAGAGCGAACCGTGAGTTCCATGAACCCTGTCCAGCTACTTCTCGAATGGCAACTGTTGCCTAAGAGGCTAGACTTCTGAGACATCATTGCCATTCCATCTGTGGCGGACAAGAAGAAGCATCACTCATTCGGTCGTCGAGCAACTGCAGAGAAGGCGGGAACCACACCGTCAGAGGCGCCTTGTGCCCATTACTTCCTCCACCGCTCAGTCGTGTTGCCTTCAGGGAAAGCCCGTCTGATCTTGAGACCTTCGGTCATTGGTTCCTTGCAACTCAATTTGGAAAATCAAACAATCGCAGAGTCAACAACACTCAGCCCTTATTGGTGAGTCATCCGAGAAAGTGAAACCCCTCCATATAGATCTTGGTGTACTGAGCAGCCACAACAGTCCCTGCAGGTGCCCTAGTAGCCTGATAGCGTGCATGACCTGACACCAGGATCCAATGCATAGTATTTGCCCAACGTCTATCCAGAGCATAGGGGACAGTAGCGGTGAAGAGAGCAAGAAGATATTGGTCTCTGTTTAAAGCCATGCTGCGCGTCCTGGTCGCTTCAAGGGACCGAAAGGCAGTTGCCGTTAAGGAAAGCCTTAATGCGTTGGACTTTCATTCCCATCTCTTCCTCCTAGACAACCGCGAGTCACTCTCCCATGGAAGGCCTTCTACCTGGCAAGACACCACCTCAGAGCTCTCTGTGATACACCTTGAACGCGAACATACACATCACCTCATGGAGAACGACGAGCAACTGCATACACATTTCATCAAGATGACGAGCAACGACATGACAATGCGAGACTTGCCCCAGATAGGGTGCCCTTATTGTTTTCCCAACTGTTATTCAGTCTTCGAACCCAGAAGAACCGCGGCAGCAGCACACGGGCTTCAGTTTCTATCTGAAGAGCAGACTCATCACAACAAGCCGCAGGAGATAATGCACTTCATCAAAGTTGAGGATGGCTGTCAGTTCGAGATCCTTGATGCCCATCCACGCGTTCCACAGACATTATTCGCCGATGATAATCTTTATTCCAGCGATGCTGCTTCTGATATAAACCACCAGGCCGATGATATGAATGATCATTTTGCGATCAGCGAGCCCGTCCCATCCCTTCTGGCGGAGGGGGAAACACCACTCAGGGCACCCATAACTATCCTCGATGAATGTATATCTCAGGACAGTGCGCCTCTTCTTGAAGGAGAGTGGACAAGCGTGGAAGAAATAGCACTATCTGAGTCCCCAAGGTCGTCACTTGAGATTCCAGCACCAGCTGCAGATAGTATTCTTGATGCAGCTAGGACATCACTTCCTTTGCTAGCTGCGCAGGTTCATCAACTATCGCACTCATCCAATGAAGACACTAGTTCTGGTCTATCCACATGGGACGCAGGGAACCTGTCGAATGAGGCGCAATTCTACGGAGAAATCAACAGCGCACTGGCTCAGCTTGCGGCAGCGAACATTCATCTGAATCCGTCCACATTCGTGAATGACGATTCAAACGCTTCCCAGTCCCTACTCCTCCCATGGGGCTCCCAAAGGGCTGATTGCCCAGCCATGCTTTCGATCGGAAGTGGATGTGCAGCCAACCAAGGGTGTAATGAATCCTTTCCTATCACCAGTTCCTACCAACACCATGAGGGTCGGTATAGTCTTAATGGGCCTTGGTCGCTACCGAGTTCCAGTGACATAAGCCACGTTAACCAGGGGAAACTTCTTGGCAGGCCACTTACGTGCCTCCGTGACAAGAGAAACGCATTCTTAATTGACTGCAAGCTCCGTGGGTTGTCATATAAAGATATCAAAAGAATTGGCGGGTTCAAGGAGGCCGAGTCGACTCTTCGTGGCAGATTCCGCACGTTGACAAAGTCTAAAGAGCAACGCGTGAGGAAGCCACAATGGCACCAAAATGACGTAAGTCACCTATCTCGGTTACTTTTATGATTCTCCTAGGTTTGCATGAAGCTGGTACTGACTCACGGTAGATTCGTCTTCTCTGTGAGGCGGTTAACGTGTTGTCAGAAACCATGGGCCATGACAAAAGCCGTTACTCCTTCTGCTGGGCTCGCATTGACAATCAATTGCCAAAGGTTTCATGGAAGAGGGTGGCTCAGTATATTAGAGCCCATGGGGGAACCTATCATTTTGGAAATGCTACCTGCAAGAAGAAGTGGTGCGAAGTCCATGGCGTGAAGATGTAAGGTTATTTGGAGTGGGAAGAGTTACAATGGGTTGCCAAAGATTCCCAATAGTCTCCGTCGGTTGAGAGCCTTTCCAGTGTCAAATGGACTTGCAATTGAGAAACACCCACTTATTGTGAAGGAGCGATCAGTGAACAAATGAAGAGTGGGGAGGGCGATATCGAAGCAGAATCGGGGACAGTAAAGGGCCAGTTGTGTTGTCTCCATTTCGTTGTCTATTCTCAGTCAGATAGAATTCACTTGGTCCGATAGAACAACTAGGAGTGTTGTGGATTGAGCATACTATCATGATCAGTTTGGAGGGAGGGTTGTCAACGGAATCAGGAGGGAATTGGCAGGAGCCTAAAAGAGAAGCTGCCATCGCAACTTCCAGCTACTGCCTCGCCACGTGATTAGCTTCTTTCCATCCAAGATTTGTGTGATAACTAGTAGTAGTAGTTAAATGTATGTGTAAGCTGATGTGTCAGTGGCGGATTGTCTACTCTTGAGCCTATCCGGACTCAGATAAGTAGCAGTCCTACTGAGACACGCTTGTTCGACGGCTGTTCAACACTGCTGAATATCAAACCATACAGAACGAGAATTGCAGTTTGCTATGCGTAGTCCTGCTACAAGTCTGCCACAAAGACGCTCAATTACTTCTATTCAATATACCTATCATGCAAAATATCTAATCAAGTCATATCTCTGCTCATATCGATCTACAACAAAGAAACTTCCCGCGCATCTGGCTGAGGGTATCCAATAGCTGCAAGCACATTATGTAGCGAAGTAGGGTTCCGACGCAACTCGTCCCATTCGGCCTCCGCCTTGACCATCAGGGTACCAGCAAGGACTGTGCCGTTAAGTGCGACAACGCCCGCCTCCGCAACATCTACAGCTGCTGTGGAGTCAACCATAATCCGGGCACTTTCACTCCGCCTCGGGCAGATCATCATGGTTGTCTCGGTCATAGCAAGATTGTAACTAATGGCAGCAGGACCAGTGACTTGGCCGGCGTCACTGAGGCCTTCCTTTGCCGTTGCTACTGCCGCTCTGTACAAAGACAGGTAGATCTGATGGAGAGTCTCACTAGAGGGGTTTGGTGGCAAGGGACGAGCAAAATGCGCAAAAGGCACCTGGGCCAAATGTTGGTAACCAGTCCCGGTGGATGTAGACTGCCGGGCCACAACGTCAATCAAGGGCTGCCAGTTTTGAGAGTCGCCTTGTGCCATAGCCTCGACGGGAAGAAACTGTAGATGCCTGTGGGGTTGACTTGCACCGCTCTCGTCACCAGAATTGAAGAAGGCAAAGAGTTTCTTGCTCCCTTGGCCCTCCGGCTGACTTCCCTCGGCCCATGCTTTGATACAGGCATATGCGGCTTCCAGGTCTTCCTTGTCGAGGAGGTCTGTCTGCGACTGCCACGCCTTCGTAGCAAGAATAAAGTGATTCGGTATTACAGGAAATTTGTTCAAGACCAGCACGTGTGACGGGTTCTCACGGGGGATCTGAGCGAGGAGAAGGTCGGGAGACGGATCTTGGAAGGGATCGGGTTTCGGGCCACTGGGGGCCTTGTCAGGCTTAGGGGCGCCTGTGGGTTTCTTCGCAAGAGCCGGGCAATAGCGAACTTGATACTAGACAGCACAAGAGAGAAAAGTCAGTAAGCTGGAGTCGGAGACAGTAGAACGGACAGTGACTGAGAGGAACGTATGTGTATGTGTGTGTGTGGTGCGGGGATGGATTGGGGTGGCTTAGTTACCGGTATGCTTGATGTGTGGACGGTCGCAAGATGCGTCGAAGAGAAGATTAAGTGACCGGCATCCCTGGCAGCGACAAATCGCCTGCTTACCAGGGAAGACAGGCTTTCTGAGAGACCCAACTGCATCTTGCGAGGGCGTGTGTGTGTGATCTGGGTTGTTGATCAGGAAGGCAATCTGCCATGCGACATCCGCGGGAAGGGGAAAGTGTGGGGCAAAAGGCGGGCAGAAGACTCCGATCGCTGGCCGGCCCGACTACGGATAGATAGATAGATCTACTGCTGAAACCTTGTTCATGCTGTTCAAATAGAGGCAATGATATATACTATGCTTGCTCAATTGCGAATCTTACATTCTGAAGAATATACCTTCCCATTTTGAAGTAGGATATGACCTGCATTCCAAGATAGTCTCGTTTTAGTTTCCCAAACGCCCAATCCATAACCAAAACCAGAAGTAAACATAGGGGATATTATTACAGGACCACGGGCGCAGCCTCCATGGGTGCCCATCAATAGAACAAGAAGAAAGATCTGCAGAGTGGTGGTATCAAGATAAAACTGGTCGAACACAAAAAAAATCGCTCTCGTCATGCCACAGATGCAAAACCCACAATATGCAAAATATGACAGTCAGAATCGAACAAAAGAGGGGGAATGGATGGAAATGGAGTCCTGTCTTCCTCCGGGCTTAGTAGGTCATATCCATGGACTCAGCGTCATGCGGCCGGTACGTATCAGGCAGCAAAACAGCCGGTTGCCCAATGAGCTGGGTGGACTGATTGTCGACCCAAGGGCCGCGTTCTTCGTCATTGGCACTGAGAACACCCTCCGCACGCTTCAGTGTCTCGACATCCAAGTCAGTCACGTAAGCCTCGCGGTTAGTGCCATCTCCTGCACCACCTGGAAGCTTGACGCGGACTTCGAACTCATTGTCGAGCATCATCTCGTCCTTCCACAGACGGCGCTGTCCATCAAAGACACAGAGGACACGCTTCTTCGTTTTGATGCTGCTGCTAGGGCAACCCCAGGACTGGGGGTAACGATCGCGGTTGTTTCGTCGCTTGGATGTAGTTGCACGCATCTTAGCATTGGCATTGGACGAACCCTTCGTGACAGCGTTGTTGACGCCCAGAATAGGACGGGCCACCGCCCCTGATCCCTTGGTGCTCTTCAGGGAGCCTTTGCCCGAGCGCAGGTTCGAATATTCGTAAGCGTCATCATCGTCATCATCATATTCGTCATTGTATATGTCGACGGTGCCAGCCGTGTCGTTCAAGTTGTGTTTCTCCATCGTCTTTTGCACCTCCTCATCCGCATCGACTTCAGAAAGCAGCTTCTGGTTGATGGCTTCGCTGGGCTCTTCCTGTTGGACAACCCGAAGCACACAGTCGTCCAGATGCTCGTAGAAGTCCTGGGCGTTGCTGAACGTAACGGAGCAAGTTGAGCACTTGCCAGTCGCATCGGGGCTATAGTTAGATGCTCCCTTGCTTGCCGCTGCAGCTGGGCTCCTCTTCCGGCAGTTGGGTGGTGTCTGTTCGACGCCATGCACGGATGTCAAGTGGCGCTTGAAGACGTCCGCCCTGTTAAAGCTCTTTTCCGCGGGTGACCCAGACCCCGGGCAAAAACCGCAAACCATCGTTCCTTTGTAGTGAGTAAGAGTATGACGGTTCTTGTCATACTTGCGTGCGAACCCCTTGATATGGTATTCGCAGGTGACGATGGGGCATTTTTCGGGCCTCTCTGACTGGTGTGTCAGAATATGAGCCTTGAGGTCCTTGAAGACACGTCTGCACTCCGGGAAAGGGCATCGGCCCTTTTCCTTGGTGTCATCGTCGGACTCTGCGATACTGGCAGCCGGGCTCGGATGAGAGCGCTGGGACTGAACCGATGAAACTGATGACCTCCGGTCATAGGAGGAAGGTGGTCGTGACTGGGGAAGGGCAGGAGCCATGGAAGGGGAAGAGGTCGGCACAACATTGGGGTGCTGTGCGAACGGCTGGTTCGCGCCGTAGCTCTCCGAAGGATGGAGGTGGGAAGGGTCAGGGGACTGGGGAAGGAACGCGCTTTGCGATACGACATAATCAGGCTGTTCCGGGAATGAGATGGTGGGTGGATGGATGGGATGTTGCTGTAGCATTGGCTGGATAACAGACGGGTCTGAGGTAATCTAGTGGTCAGCAGGGGCCGGAGGACAGTGTATCGGACGTTGTAACCCACCAACAAAGCTTTCTGGGCATTTTTGCTGATAGAAACCCTCCGAGTCCAGTGTGTTGCCGAAATACTCATTGGGGAATAAGTCACTCATGACCGCAGTGGGAAGCCCCAAGCCATTCGTTGTCTGGACCCAGTCTTCCGAGATGACATGCGCAGAACCCGTATTGGGCGATCCGATGGCGGAGGAGGAGGCGCTTGCAACCGAGGGACCAGACGCAGTAGAAAGTCCAGGAATGAAGTGGTCAGAAGTATAAGGCAGGGACGGGGGAGTGGCGGGCATGGGTGGAAATCCGGCAGCTTTATTGGAGTCCGAGTAAGACTCCGAGTAGACAGGCGGCGTACCGTAGTTGGAGGACTGTGGTACACCGGATGGGTCGTGGGTCTGGCTGAAACCTAGATCGTCCACATGGAAGGCAAGAGGATCGATAAAGGTGCTAGGACCCATGGGGTAGGACTGGAAGTATGGGGGATGCTGCTGCTGTCTGGACGAATCCAAAGCCAGCATTTTGTTGTCACCGGTGAAGTGGGTAGGGAATAGTACGAAGTCGGAGTTGTCTGCGTGAGATTGCATGCCCACGCTCCGTGCAGTGGTTGGTTCGTTCCTTGGCTTCCAGGTGGGAGGATGCGAGGGTTAATGTAGAAGAAGAGGAGGGATGCAACCGATCTGCAAGATGATGAGCGTTAGAAATCTGATGTCTCAATCAATGGCATGGAAATAATGTCCGGCAAGACTCCCCTGGACCCGAGGGCTTGGGAGAGAATGTTATTGAGTTCAAAGATTGGGAACGGCCCGCTCGGGGAACCTACTATGGCTTGATAGTCTTGGTATTTAGCGGGAGCCTAGTAGTGACGAGACGAGCAAGCTCCAAACGAGGTTCGGGGAATTTCCCAAAGAGGTCAAAAGAGGGAGCTTTCGAAGAACGTGTCTAAAGCTCGGGGTTTGAATGTACCAACTGCAAGGCGACGAAGTGTGTTGTCACTTGCAGATCCGAATCTTGGGGCGCTGAGAAGGCAGAAGAGGCAGCAAAAGTTTAACACCCGCAAGCAGCAGAAGATGGATGATGGGATGCGAAGCAATGGGGTCTTTGGAAAGGTAAAAGTAAAAGAAGGTAGGTGGGACACTGCGTTGAGGAAGAAGGAGAGGGCAGTGCAGAGGAGGTAGAAGAGAAGGAACAAAGTAGGTAAGGAATCCCTTTTTGTAATGGTAATGGGAGAGTTGTCGCGCTGACAGCTTCACCAAGGTCCGACCCGTATGTGAGGGAGAAAGAGGAATGCGGAATGAGGATGGAAGAGGAAGATCAGATGGAGGGGGAAGGGAGGGAGTAAAAGCATAGATAAATGTTATATGATTGCTGGCCCTATGAGTCGCTCAGTGTAGGACTTTACGGAGTGGATATTCAGTGGACTGGACTGGGATTGACCAACTACGGACGAACTAAGAAAAAACCACACTAAAAAGTAAGAGTCGAGCCCATCGCCCGACTAGATAGTACTGGGGCGGGGGGTTGCGTGCACCATCGCGACAGGGGAGCAGTAGAGCCTAGTGTTTAGCGCGGTTCCAAACGGACTGGGGTGGGTTGTGGGTGTGGGTGTGAGTGATGCCGATGATGATGATGGTGGTGGTGATGATGATGATGGTTAGTGGGTGGTGGGTGGTGGGGAGGGAAGGACCACTAACTAACCACTAACTAACCAGAGTGGAGGACTGAAAAAAAGAAAAGGATTAAAATAACATTGAAAAATAAAAAGAAAAGAAAAGAAAAGGGTAAAAAAAAAAAAAAAAAAAAAAAGAAAGGAAAGGAACAGGGGTAACGCTGCTAGTAGGCAAAGTAGAACTGCAAAGGTGGAGATGCCGGGCGAGCAGGGGCAGGCAGTGAACCGGGCCTAAACCAAGTGGTAGGAGTAGGTCAGGTATGTGGTATTATTAGCACCTCGATACGCCGTACTGCTAGTCGGGTCAAGTCAGTGTACGAAAATAAGTATTACCACTAGCCATCATGCATCATCCTTCCTGCACTGCCAGCCGGAGGGTTCACTTGCAGGATAACTTTCTGTTGCTTGGGGGCTTTTTTTTTTTTTCTACTTTTTCTTTTTCCTTATTCTATTTTGATTTTCTTTTTCTTTCTCATTTTATTTTCCCTTCTTCTTTATTTCCTTTAGGTCATTTTCATTTTAAAGTGATCTGCTCGCGAATAATATTGTAAGGATAGATTCATATGCTCATTTTTACCTTTCATTACTTTTTCTTCCCTTATCCTCTATCAGAAAATAATCTGTCGATTATTGTGTTTGTTTGTTTCCATTCGATTTCCTCTACACGATACTGTAAACAGTTATTCGTCCGTTCAATGCATTATTTTTCTTCTTCTTGCCCTCTTTCCTGAATCAGTCACCAATCTTCTGATCAGATTGTGCATGTGCTTATCTACTTACACTCGTAGGGAGTAATCGTTACAACCCCAAATAATACAGTATTATTCGGAGATGCTCGATACCCAAGTCCTCCCCGATGATTACCTAAAATGGTAATAAGGGAACCCCATCTGCGATCCACTCCACGGCCACCCAAACTTTTGTCAAAGCCTCCACAACTACTAACCTCTAGCAAGCATTTCATACAATCGCCCTTGGAATTTGGGCCCTATCAGAATCTTAATCGAGTCGCTCTTTTCCGAAATTCCGTGCATCCCCTCCTCCCATTTTTCCTTTTTGATTTTATTCTATTTTATTCATCGTCTCTAGGATTTTTAATTGGATACTTCTTATCCATGCCTCTGTGTGGTTTCGTCTTTCGCACCACTTGCATGTAAGGTACTGTCGAACTGGGGAATTCGCGAGCCCGTATCGTACTAAGTACCACATCACTCCTGAATAAGTAGTAGTCATTTATGAAACACGTCCCTTTGAATGTGTCTAGAACCCAAGTATCTACGCGATCGGTCGTAAT